ACCCCCGGGACCGGGGTTCGAGACCGCGGTTCGAGACCGCGCTGCCCGCTCCGACCTGAGGAAAAGCCAGGACAGCAACGCCGTTATATGAGGAGAACTCAGCCCCAGCCATCCCGACGCCGCTTCCCAGTTTCCCCCACACCCATGTCCCTTCCTTCTCCGCCACCTCATGTGCTACACGCTGTGATGACAAGGGGAAGAGACAGCGGGAAGCTCACGCTCAGGCTCAGTCCTGGCCAGGACACCTCTTTCACACCAGGTCGAGGTACACGTTGTGCTGCTGATGCTTTGGACCCTCCATGGGAAACGTGGAAAACACCTCACCTTGGAAGTGGGCTCTGCTGGCGCTGCAGAAGCGAAGGATGGGAAGTCCCCATTCACCTTGTTCTGCACAATCTCCTTATGGACACTTCTTCCCACTGGAGATGTGCTCACCACACACCTTGCAACTAAAAAAGAATCAGAGAATCCCAGCCTGGTTTGGGTTCGAAAGGACCTTAAAGCTCCTCCAGCTCCAACACCTTCCACTAGAGCAGGTTGCTCCAAGCCCCTGTGTCCAACCTGGCCTTGAACACTGCCAGGGATGGGGCAGCCACAGCTTCAGCTTCTCTGGGCACCCTGTGCCAGCACCTCAGCACCCTCCCAGGAAAGAGCTTCTGCATCAGAGCTCATCTCAATCTCCCCTCTGGCAGGTTCAAGCCATTCCCCTTGTCCTGTCCCTCCATCCCTTGTCCAAAGCCCCTCTCCAGGTTTCCTGGAGCCCCTTTAGGCACTGGAGCTGCTCTGAGGTGTCTCCTTCAGGAGCCTTCTCTTCTCCAGGCTGCCCCAGCCCAGCTCTCTCAGCCTGGCTTCAGGGCAGAGAAAGACAAATAATAAAGATACTGAAAGAAAAGAACAAACAGACCAAGAAAAGCCCAAGTGGTTTTGGGCCTGCGTCAGCCCAGCTTGTGACTCATGGGGGAGACTTGGAAACCATCACAAGCCATGGAGAGGGGACATGGGGGCCACACAGGCCAGGGGGGGACAGTCCAGGCCATGGCAGGGTCACAGGGACCAGCTGAGCTCTTGGGAGCCAAAGTGACTGGTGTAGATCCCAGAACTATCAGGGTTGGAAGGGACCTCTGGAGATCACCCAGTCCAACCCCACCAAGGCAGGGCCACCCAAATCAGGTCACACAGGAACGTGGAGCAGGTCACACAGGAACCCTGGTGGGGTTTGAATGTCTCCAGAGAGGGAGACTCCACAACCCCCCTGGGCAGCCTGTGCCAGGGCTCTCAATGGAAGAAGTTCTTCCTCATGTTGAGGTGAAGCTTGTTGTGCTTTAGTTTCTGGCCATTGCTCCTTGTCCTGTCGCTGGGCACCACTGAGAAGAGTCTGGCACCATCCTCCTGGCGCCCGCCTTTGAGCTGTTGATCTGCATTGATGAGATCCCCCCTCAGGCTGCTCTTCTCTGACCAACCAGGCCCAGCTCTCGCAATCTCTCCTCATCAGAGAGATGCTCCAGACCCCTCAGCATCGCTGTGGCCTCCACTGGACCCTCTCCAGCAGCTCCTTGTCTCTCATCCTGAGGAGCCCACTGGACACAGTGCTTCAGATGTGGCCTCACCAGTGTCAGTAGAGGGAGAGGGATCACCTCCCTCGACCACACTCCTCCCAATGCACCCCAGGATACTCTTGTCCCGCCTGGCCAATGGGCCGGCTCATTGGCAACTTATCACCCACCAACACTGCACTGCAGGGACCAGTCCAGGCTGTAGGAACAAGGTGAGGCGATGGGGCTGAGCCCTCCTTTGCACCACGGCCACCCCTGGCCTTGTGCCCCCCACCCCTGCCACTCCGCGGC